TTCACTCCCTTTGTATGTGCGTGTGTAAGTATAAGAAGATACGAATATCCTGGCCTCCACATTACTTGTTTGTTCTTCTTTCCCCAACTCTCGCGAGATAGATGCACTTCGCTGCCATACACGTATGTATATACGATCCGGCCTCACGTCGCTCTTCCGACACAATGTGATCTACACCAGTTACTCGAGGGGGGTTGTTCCAGTCATCCCTCCCTTCCCTCCCTCCCTCCCTCCCTCCCTCCCCTACTATAGAGTCGTCTCCTGTCCACAAGCACAAGGAGGGTGACCTCCCTACCCCACAAGAACGAGTGTTTCTTGAAAAAGTCTGCCGTCTCCCGCTTTACTTTCGAGCATGAGTCTCCTCCTCAAAACCAATGGGACATATATTTCAAATGTAACAGATACTACCGTATCTCGCAACCAACCGGGGAGAGCTTCTCTTCTCGTTAATGCTCAGGAAACGCGTTGCTCATCTTCCAAACTGTAGTCTACAGTAGATACAAGGACGCTCCGCTGGTCCCCGCTTNGGGGGGGGGGGGGGGGTAGGGAAGCAAGCTGCGCTTTAAGCCCGCGACCAAAACAATCACCACCACCATCGACAACAAACAACAACAACAGTAACGACAACAAACAACAACAACAACAACAACAACAACAACAACAACAACAACAACAACAACAACAACAACAACAACAACAACAACAACAACAATAACGGTACCTACCTGCGAGCGGAGCGTGACGTCCAAACCGCCCATTTCGGCAAGCCAGTCTCGACCGCGAGATACGGAGTCCAGCACGTAGGCCTCGCACACGTCCACGTTCCGGTCGATGAGCTCGTTGTTGAGAAGCCTGACAGATTGATTGATGCGTTTTGACAAGCACGACAACAACAATCGACATCGTCAGTAACGCAGAGATGCCAAACGAAGCGAGGGAAATAAGATAACGGGTAACACATCGCTTCGAGGGATCCATCGTGCTCGATCGAAGATATTTTCTCGCGAAAAGAGTTGTTCTTGTTGTACCTAACCAACAACAACAACTCTGTTGCAGTACCGACCTGTAAGTCTCACAGACACAAGCCGGTCGACAGGAGCTGAGCGCGAAAAACGCTTGAAAAAACCACGCACGAAAACAAGCGTGATGCATATATATATATATATATATATGTTGGCCATTCTTACCAGAGGTTGCCCGCGTTAGGGTTGGAAGGGTCGAACACTCCGGTGCCGGAAATGACATCCGCCACCGAAACCGTCGTGACACCCGTCCTTGCGCCTGGCGAGCGAGTTGTTTGTGTTCGTTCATGGAACAAACAACGGTTGGTCGGTAAAAAGAGTGGAAAACAGTCAGCATTATCATCATGGTTGCCTTCTGAACCAGCCATTCTCTCACCTCTAGGCTACATCATATTCGACTACCGAATGTTGTTGGGGTTGGATGTGACGGTAAATTGATGTGGGCTCAATAGTGGCCCCTTGCATGTCGTTTTTTGCCATACAACAGGCCACTGTGCGACGGGGTCAAATTGACGACTTGCTCCTAGACGTTATGTACATAGGAAGGCCCTCTCTTCCCTTCAGTACCGACTAGTTGTGAAGGGGGTCTGACTCTACGTGCACGCATCAGTCATGACTGCGTACATACATCCATACATGCCTACCTTCGAGAACGTCGTCATAGAAGTCTTTGTTGAGCTGCACGTCCGCCTTGGTCCCCATCCGAGAAAGGTGCCCGCCAACGAGGACGTCCATGTCGTAGCCTGCGTGCGTCCGTTCATAGCCAAGCAAGACGAGAGTGTGTAGGGGGTTAGGTGTGTACTCATGATTTACGTACCCTAGCGGTTGGACCATTGAACGCGCGTCCTCGAGAGGATGACGGAACATTATTTCCACAGGACCGATTAACGGTGGCCAATCGTTCCTTCCGATACGAGTGCAGAGGTGCACAAAAAATCAGCGACCGAGAGGGAAGGAGGTGAGGAGACAAGACCAACGGGGCCCGAGGGGACGACGTTGTCGTTGTTGAATCGAGAGGCGAGGAAGCACGAATTTCGTCTTGACTACTCGTTGTGCTATATACTGCTGCTGTGGATGCCATTATATTGCAGTCATGAGGTTCGAGGGTGGTTGCGCCAGACCCCACAGCGTGACATGCATGTGCCACAGGCAGCTTTTCTTCTTTTGTACAAAGGGGAGCCTCTACATCGTCTATCCCCTAGCATCATTATGTAAGCCCATGACACCACTCACTCAAAATCTCGTCCATCGCGTCGTAGTAGCCACCGATTTCCGAGCTCGCGGCCACCGAGAAAAAAGGGACCCTGCAAAAAAGAGGATGGAAACAGACGAGCTTACACGACTTGAGAGGGACATAACCTATGCTGCGATTGGCATACAGTACAAACATTCACATGCGCACCAGATCTGACAACTACCCAGACACGGCCGAAAGAAGAGCTGAATCACAAGTCAAATGCCCCATGTAGACACTGTATGTATGTATACATACACGTCGCTGATGATCTGATACTACCCACAACGTTGGCAAACACAGACTTCATACATGCATATGGGACCTCCGGTGGAGGGATGAGGGTGGCTGGATGACATGGTTCGTTGGCAGGATCCCCCGGTGGGTGGAAGGGTCCAGCAGACACAATGCCACCGATCGATTCAACCACTGAACTTGAGGGGGGAACAACCGGAACTCTCGCCCCACCCCCCCACGCACCCCCTTTACGCACTTACCAGCCTGGGAAGATGACGTCGACTACAAAGAAAACGCTCGTGTCGATACCTGTGCATACAGCGTTGCCGACGGGATTTGGGGCGGAAGGTGACTGTCAAAACTATGTGTTCGGGGCGCATAGATAGAGAGACCAACTGGACCTGAAAGAGAAACATGCGAGAACGGAAACACTCACACATAATGTCCTGCGGTTACACGCCCCCCCGCCTCCCCGGCCACTTACTTCGGATGGTGAGGCGTACACATTAACTCGGAAGGTCTCCAAAAGTGAATAGGTAACCATTTTTACCAACCAGATCGTTAAAACAGGGCGCGCAATCGTCGCCTGTCATTTCTTGATTGGGGGTTGGCGATCATAACAACAAGAAATCAGCAGTCGATGTTTGAGAGGATGATCCAAAACTCTGACTGGTGAAACGTTCAGATACTACTGTATGATGCATACCAATACCGTACGCAGTCGACAACACGCGTACCTTCAGCTGCGTTCGCAGGAAGGTTCTTGTCGAGGAACACGACCAAGTCTCCCCTCTCATGAGCGTGTAGTTTTTGCACCTCGAACCGCAGCCCTCCGACTTGCAGCTCCCTGTAGTCAGCCTCGTCCAGCTTCTCTGGGATAGGGACGCCCCGGTTGTTGCCGTGGATGCTGGTGGGGTCTCCGCGGTCGTCCCTGGCCTTAAGCTTGGCCCGGATTCGCTTAGAGGTGATGATCGTAGGGTTGTCCTCCGCGAAGTGCTCGTAGACCAGGCCGGCGGTACCGATGTGATCCTATGTGTGTATTTACAAATGCGAGAAGTATGACACGAATCGCAAAGAATAGTCAGCGAAGGGGCTGCGGAGTGAACAGTAGTTGTTAGCGGTTGGTTGTCATATCGACCCAAGTGAAAACAAGAGAAGGACACGGAATATCGTCACTGGGATCTACAGTACACGTTCCAACTTCTAGTTTCCGTTCGGGGCGGGATGCTCGGCTGGCTCACCACCCCCGCTTGTTGCGCGTTTTTCTAGCCCTGCGCCCTGGAACCACGTTTGTTTGTTTTTGTTTGGATGCATGCATACGAAGATCTTCTGAATTTGGACCCCCCTCCCTCATGAGGCACTGCAGGAGGAAAACAGGAGTTAAGAGAAGCTGAGAGAAACAATGAGCTACTTCGATTTCTGGACGTACTACTGTTAGTACAACATTGGTCTGCAGTATAGTTAGTCTTCTAGTGGATCACGGCGACCGATACATGTGGGAGACGAGACGAGACGAGACGCTAAGAGACGAAGGCAATTTATTTCCTCCGTTGGACCCACTACTACTCCTACACGACCCCATGCCTCACCCAATGACTGTGGGTGTACAAGATGTACTTGAGCTTGGTGCCTGGGGCAAGAATGGCCTCGATAGACTCGGACAGCCACGTGGCCGTTGGAAACTCCGAAGCGCTTGAAACGAAAGATCCTGTTTCCAGATAACGATGACGTGGTGGGCGCCCGAGCAGCTGACTGGGTACATACATGTAGACTACAGTTGGCGCCCGCAGTTAAGAGACGCTTATTTCAGGTCCAGCCTCGAATTCTTATTGTGGGCTATAAACTCAGCGTATGTCGTTCAGTTTCTTATTTGAAGGTTCTTATTTTTTCGTGCAGCCAAATCCTGCTGAATTTCTTGTATCGGCAATTTCTTATTTCTCTGCTTGCATACTCTACACAACGTTCCAAATAGTCTATGATACAATTGATTTGCACTGCTTTCCTCGACCCCCGTACTCAACCCCGATTCTCACTACCGACGGCTGCACGTAAGGCCACTCCCTAGAAGCGAAATTTATCCACCGGCAACGTCTCGCTATCGCTACAAGGTCCTGTACCCCCCTCATGAGCGAGGAGGGCTGAAACTAAAATGCATAAACACCGCATGATGCCTCACCCGCACGCTGAAGTACCAACAACGAAGAAAACTACCCCGCCATTATGTTGCAAGCTCCGTGAGGCGAACATAGGGGGTTGTCACCCTTTTGCGCCTCCCGCTCCCTTCCTTTCTTATGAAGACATTTCTTATGGTGTGACCCAGATTGAGCTATGTTTCTTGACCCGTTTTCCTTATTTTTCGTGAAAAAGTGAGCCTCAATTTCTTAACAAAATATTTATTTCTTAACTGCGGGCACCAACTGTATATTAATATCATGATGATGACGATGCATTGCCCCCACACACTCACTCACCACAGGGGGGCAGCTTCAATTATCTTGTCACTTCTTTTTGCACTCACATACTACTGTATGTACAGCAGTACTGCCTCTTTATGCCTTTGTACCTTTCTTTGTGTCCTTGCCTTTTTTTAGGCTGTTTTTTTCATAAAAGAGACGACCCAAAAAATGATAACAAAAGAAGATGACCCCTGTGTTACGACGTCTATTTCTGAAGGTGGGGTTTCTTGATGATTTTCACCGGCGTTCGGCGTGCGGGAGCGAACTGATTTTTGAATTTCCGCCTTCACCCACGCCACAGACCGCGCACAGCACGAAACACAACGCCCCTCTGCACCAGCTCCTCTGCACACAGCCACATCCCGTAAAGCAGACCATGTATGCTATGAAACTAGATGGCGTACAGTCTCTCTCGCTGGAGTTCAACTCGTACGCCGAGACAGTGATTTCGATGCTGCGGGACAGGAGCTCCGGCCTGACGGACGCCAAGTTCTGAAGCACCTCCAGAACGTGTGCATCGTGTACGCGTGCTTGGCGGTCAAGCGCAACGCCGGGATTGTCTCCACACAGGCCAAGCACGCGGCAGCGGCGCAGGGGTACAAGGACATCGCTGTCCCTGGGTTCTTCAAGTGGCTCCAGGAAAACTTGGACAAGGAGGATTTCTTCTTGCAGCCGTGGCTCACGTTCGAGGTCATGGGGAATGCATGGGGAAGACGTCCATGAACGGAGGTAAGACACAACCAACGCGGGAGAGAGGCAGGTTTCGAGTGCGAAGACAACCGTCTTGAGGGAGAGGGACTGGGTGCGAGTGTGTACCTGACCCTCTGTGCCTTCATGATGTGCTGTTGAAAATGACATGCTTTACGTAGGGTGTGGGGTATGTGGTCCGGCCAAAGGTTGTTTTTAGGTTGCAGTCAGGCCACGACGGGCTGCTGCAGCAGCAAGAGAAACCAACATGCTGCTGTAGGATACCTTGTCACGGCCCATCATTTGAGCGGCAACCACAGGATGCAACCCGACACCAGTGTACCAGTCTGTGCGTAGCCTTTCGAGCCTCAGTTATATGGCAACCGAGGCCCGCCCATTTCCTGGAGCAGTACCGTACATGACATAAGATACCACATCCCCTTGACCGATATTCAAAGCTCGATTACTCCACGACAAAGATGCACGAACGGAACGGTGCATTTTCGGAAAGCTCTCGATGAGACAGCTTCAACGCCGGCATTGTTGTCAGTAGGCTTGTGATTCCTTTTGCTGTTGAGGAATGGGCCTTTGAAAATCGGTCCAGGGGGTGTGGTATCTTGTGTCATTTGTGGTACTCTTATTGAGAGGCATGG